ACCAGTAAGTCACTGAGTATAAAAAACAGTGAGGCAAAGTCCCAGCATAACATTCTACAGCTACTAATTAAAAAACACTCTGATGAAACACTTAAGTTTCCCAAATGAGTAAAAATTTTCTTTGCCAGAAACTCAGTCATATAAAGATGGTTTAAACAAAAATATCTTACATCCTTAAATGGATCACCACGGGACATCTGTTCCTGCAGTTCTTTCTGGAGTTCCTTACGAGCTCCTATGGTTTGCTGATTCCGAACATATTCTGAAAGCTCTTTCAAGCCTGCCTCAGTAAAATACTTTGTGAAGTGTTCCACGCTTTGTTTATTGGCAGGAAAAAGTTCCTGAAAGGAGAATTTAATCTAGTTAAATGGTCTTTCAATCAGATTAAGAAAAACACTCTTCTTCCTTTCACAGATTAAAAATGAGAAAGCTCTCTTATTACACTTTCCTCCAGTATTGGCAAGAATGGCAAGGAAAAATGAAGAATGTTACAAACCATCAGTCTGTTATCCATGCTGACTTTCCGCAGACTTGCAGCTACTGCATTGATGTCTTTTTCATTTATCCAGGATTTAAAGAGCTTCACAGCAAAAGCTGCTGAAACCCCTGGAGAACGAAAGAGCTTACTTAACAGAAGTACCTTCCGGGATTTCAACCACATCTCCCCACTTCCTCCCTCCACAGCTCAAGCACACAGGATTACTCTCTTTCTTAACCCTAAACTTCCCTCAGCCATTGCTTACCATTTCACTCCCATTTTTCTTTTCTACCATTTACTACTTGTATATTCTTAGTCAAGTTACTTAAACTGTTTTCTAATGTGTAAAATGAGGGTAACAGTTCTTACTCTTGACAGGCTTTGTTGTCAGAATTTAAAAAAAAAATTTTACTCTACATAATAAATTAACTATGGAAATTAGAAAAGGGAATTTATTTTCCTTTTCAGCTTGACGTTTTCCCCAATGTCACTTTCTCTACTAAAGATGTTCCCAAGTCTCCCAACTGGAACTGATGTCTTTCTGGGTTTCCACAGCATTTCTCTTTTTACTTCATAATCACATTTTGTCTGGACCCTGGATATTTGCTGTATGCCTAAAGAAAGGCATTAACCCTGGATGCCAAAGGTATACATTAAATGTCTAGTGAATTTGAATCAACCTATTAAATTTAATAGTAAAAAAACGAACACTATTATACAAGTCAAATCTACATAATCTATACCCTTTAATATCAGATCATCTTTCATGCTCTTCTCTACTCCACCCTCAGCCAATTAGAGACCATCCTTTACTAAAGGTTGATTACCTTCTTTGACCAAATTCTCATTATAAAGGCTATTAAGAATGGATGCATTAAGTGTTCCATTAGCCAGAAGTACACCAGTCAACATAGCCAGCTTGTTCCTCTCCGACTCTGAAAAACCTTTTAAGAACAGCAGCAGCTATAAAAGTAAATAGTTAAGGGTTAAAAGAGCAACTGTATTATATAAAGAGTAGTAGCAAAACATACTACATTGGTTAAAAGTGGGGGCTCTGGGGTCTAACCATCCAAGCTTGTATCTCAGTTATAATATTCACTAGCTGAGTGCTCTTGGGCAAATTACTTAACCTCTGTGCCTCATTTCCTCATATGTAACTGTGGATAATAAAACTTGCCTCACAGGGTTTTTGTGAATATTAAATGAGTTAATAATTAGAACAGTGTCTGGTACTTGATAAATGTTGCCATTAACATTACCAGATTTCCTATGCACTATATGTAGAATAACCAAGACTCAAATAGCAAACAATAACTTTCTTTTTCTCAATGTGTTTAGCCCTGATCCTCTACCCTCTATCTTTTGAACAAACTCCACTTTGATTCTTAGCCTTCTGCCACTTGTCTGGACAAGGAGCTAAGAAACACTGTACAGCAAATTATATTAAATGATATACCCCAAAGCCATATTTCAAAGACAGCCTACCTAAATATCCAAAATTATCTCAAATCTGTGGCAGAATGAGGACTTGGCATTGCCCTCTTTGACCCCAACTTTTGTTTTCCACAAACCAAACTGCTCCTCATACCTTTTTAACTTCATCTTCAAACCCTTTCTCCAGGTATTTGTAGCGCCTGATTAACTTGTTAAAAACCTATAAAGAATAGTAAAGGAATTTAATAAAGACTTCTTATGTACAAATGCCAGATTCCTAATAAATTTAGGTCCGGGCCATTGAGGTCTCTGCCACAGTATCTCTAGAACAGCAAAGTGAACCTTCCACTGGATAAAACAGTTTTCAAGCCATTTACACCAGCGTGGGAAGAGTCTGTCGACTCCCAAACCCTATAATATACCAATGTTGTCAGCACTTTAATAGACACCCTGCAACAGATTTTTATTGCCAAATACTAAAGCAAGGACGAACTACTGCTTAAATACAAGTCATTTACCCATTTATAGGATATTAACCTAAGATCCCAGAATACAGTTTCACTTTCCTAATGACATAGGTAACATTCTCTAGGTTGGATGCACTTGAATTCTTTGCTTAGAGTAATACAAACATAACTGTGATGAAACCTTCAAATGAGATTGTGATCGATAAGCTAATCTTTAAAAAGTTGTATGTTAGTTCACCTTCACAAAGTTATATAAAGAGTAATTTAATGATGGAAATCACAACAGGGAACTGATCTTCCTTTTCAATTTAATGTTTCTCTTGAAAATGGGTTAATCCCAGAGGGTTAAATATGAAAAGGAGAGCTAATTCAATCTTTTTTTACTTTGTTTTCCTCAACACACCTGAAGTTTCCAATTCATCATATTGCACCAAGAACAGTATCTCAGAATTCTGAGAACATTAAACTGAACAATATTGAACCTTCAGTTCAAATTCCTTCTCTTTTCTACCTGCAACCTCTTAAAAGTACACTTATTCCTTAAACATGAATCAGATGGATAACTGTTAGTAACTGAAATAATTATGCAAAGTTTCACTCACCTGAGCAAATGCTTGCATGGTCTCTAGGTCCTCCTGTGCTGCGAACACACAGACATCTGTACGCATCATGTCATCTGCCAGTGTACCACCTGGGGCTAAGGTATATTTACAAAAAATCTGCAGTGACTTTCATTTACAGTTAGTAATTGTTTCAACCGCACTTTCTATAAGGATTCTCATTATGAAATAAAGTGATAAAAATTCTAAGAGAAGATTTGAAAGCAAAGTCAATTTCTCAGGAGGAACACATGGCTAGTTGGTTCAATGTGTGTGAATAAAGTGAAACAATTTACAGGAATAAAGAAAATAACTCACTTTAGCAACCCAATGAAACTCACTGCATTAACTATTCAATAGCGCCAAATCTGTCACTCAAGTGGAGATGTTCACAGCTTGTTTTTGATGTGTAACTTTCCATACAGAAAACAACCCTTCAAGCTTCCAAAGAAGCTGGGCTATAAAAACCCCCAAATTGTAGTCTTCATCTTTTAGATACATTTGTAAGCATTTATGGACAAAATGATATGAGGTATATTTTAAAATTTGGGGGGGGGGGTAAAGTCAGTGGGGGCGTAGAGTAAGATTGTTAACAATTGTTGAAGTTGGTAACATCATAAGTTTGTTCTACTTACTATTCTCTGAAAATTTTTTAAAAAATTTCCTTAGTAATAAAAATAGGCTTATTGATAGCAGTACTATAAGTAGAAAACAGGTATCTTTCACATTTCTTACTACAAACTGGTAACAGAATGAAAGAAACACTCATTTGACTAGGCATTAGAATGTAGGAACGGAAGTTCCTGGTTCCACTACTGAGCAATTGTTTGCATGCAAATCACTGAAGCCTTTCTAAGCCTCCATTCTGCATGTATACAAATGCAGCTCTGATTCTACCAGGTTGGCTGTGAGGGTCAATACACTATCGCTGTGAAAACTTCTGAAATACTGTAAAGAGCTATGGATATTATATAACCATCATCATTTAAAGATCTATAACTAAGTAGCACATTCTGTTAAGATATGCTAAGTTGCTAAGAGTGGAAGCAGAACAGCACTGTGCAACAGAAATATAATGTGAGCCACACAATGTAATTTCAAATCTTCTAGTAGCCATATTAAAAATAAAGGGTGAAATTAATTTTAACATACTTTAACCCAACACATCAGAAATACTATGATTTTAACATTTCAGTATTCAAAATATTATTGAGATGTCTTACATTCTTTTTTTATATTAAGTCTTTAAAACCCAAAGTGTATTTTACATTTACAGCACATCTCAATTAGGACTAGCCACATTCTTAGTGACTGACAGCCACATGTGGCTAGCGGCTAATATGTTGAAGAGCGCAGGACTAGAGTTTTCAGGTATACAGAAGTATTTCATAAAAGACAACAACAGGTAGGGGTTTCTTCATTAACTGGGAGTGTTCGAACACAGGTTGGAAAAATCTCTGATTGATGATATTGTAGAGACTTAGGTATCAGAAAGAAAAGTCACCCCCAAATGTTATGGTTTTCTAATAGATTACAAATATAAAGCTAAGCAAAGCAAGGCAATCTGTTAAGTTACTAGAATAACATGGAAAATCCGAAGGTAGTAAAAAACACAAAAATAAAGCCACCCCAATTTGACAAGTTTGTCAGAGAGTTCATATTCTGGATTCTCTATAATCTCCATATATCACACTTCCCACAAAACCCAGACACTTACCCAGCATTCCGCCGGCCACCAGAATGTCAAAGAGTGTTTCTGCATATCGGCGGTAATCAAGTTTTGCTCCAGAAGCATCAAGAAACTTTGCTACTGCTTCCAAATCAGTACCAGTCTCAGTTAAACCTTGAATAATACAGTCTTGAAACTGAGTAGGGTCAAACCTCTCTTTTTCATCTGGGAGGAAAACCCCAAAGCATTTAGTTTTAAAAGGCTCACCAAATTGCCACAAAACCACCACCTTATGAAGCTTTAACTACCAAGTAAGTTAACCAAATTCATCACAATTTCATTTATTTCAACAGCTGGAAAAAACAAAGACAAGCTAGATTACTCAAGACCTGCAACACAAGCAAACACAACAGGAGACTAAACACGCATCCTTTGGAAGTTTCCCCTCTGCCAAGGGCAAGGCAGGACTGCCTAGTCACAAGGATTGTGTGGCTTTCCTCCCACTATTTTTTCATGGAAGTCTCATAAGTGAGCTAACTGAGCTGCTGTGTTCCTACTGCCAGGAGACAATTTCTACCTGGAATGCCCTCCTGTTGCCTCTGCACTTTCCTGGAATTTAAGACATCCTCTGAACCTCAGGTAAATTTTATTCCCAACTGAAATTTTATCCAAACACTGAAAGCTCTTGATTCTTTTCTTTATGTTGTTGTTGTTTTCTGAGGAAGACTGCCCTGAGCTAAAATCTGTGGCCAATCTTCCTCGTTTTTGTATGTGGGTCACCACCACAGATGGTGGACGAGTGGTGTAGGTCTGCACCCAGGATCTGAACCTGCAAACCTGGGCTGCTGCACACCAAACTTAACCATTACACCACGGGGCCAGCTGATCTATGGGTTTGTTGTTTTTTTGGGGGTGGGGGGGGGGTGAGGAAGATTGGCCCTGAGCTCTGTTGCCAGTCTTCCTCTTTTTTGCTTGAGGAAGACTGGGCCTGAGCTAATATCTGTGACCATCTTCCTCTATTTTCTATGTGGGACACCAGCACAGCATGGCTTGATGAGCAGTGTGTAGGTCCACGCCCAGGATCTGGACCCAGGAACCCTGGGCCACCAAAGCAGAGCATGTGAACTTAACCACTGCACCACCAGGCTGGCCCCTCTGTGGTTTTTTTTTTTTTTAATCACACACTTGGCACTTATTAAGGTAATCTTTAGAAAGTACATTTACTGCATATCCAATATTTGGCAGTATCTGTAATAGACGCCTTGCTTTAATTAATCCTTATAACAACCTTGTGAGGTAGATCTTTTTGTTCCCATAATTCAAAAGAGAAATCAAAGGTCAGAGGATTACGTAATCAAGACTATACTGTGTAGTAATTAAGACCAAGGGCTCTGGCATCAGGCTGCCTGATCCAAATCCTGATCGCCACTTCCTAAACTGTCTGAATTTGAGCAACTAGCCTCATTCTTCATGCCTGAATTTCCCTACTGTAAAACAGTGATTAAAAGCAATATCTATCTCATAAAGTTGCTGTGAGTATTAAGTGATACAAATAAAATAGAAAGCACTGAGAACAGTGCCCTGGCTAAGTACCTAGTCTTTACTGAGTTGCTATCACACACAGCATGATGGGGTTTGATTTCTCTACGTAGGTTACATGCTGTTTTAATTTTCGCACAGCACTAGGGTGACCAACTCCTCCCTGTTTGTCCAGGATTTTCTTGGTTTTAACAATGAAAGCTCTATGTCCTGGGAACTCTCTTCAGTCCCAGGCCAATTGGGATGGCTGTTCACCCTACCCAGGACCTAATCATCCAGAACCAGAAGGCCCGAGTGACTTCAATCTGGAATGGGGAAGTGACATCTCTTCCTGATGCTAACAGCAATTAACAAAATTACGCGATACCGTGTTTACTCAAAGGCAATACCAGTAATCCACATACTCAAGACAATCCAGACTTCCCCCCACTACTGCTGAATCGCTCTGGTTTCTAACTTCTGTTCCTCCTCTTGAGAAGATCTGCTGGCTTAAATCTAGACGAATCTGCACACACTAGTCAAGTCACTCTTGGGTCTCCTCACTGCAAGGGGACAGGCTATGGTGAGATTACAAAAGACAGCAGAATCTTATCCCAAAGTGCCTGCTACTCAGGGTAGAAAAAGAGTCTATAACCAGTAGCTGCCCCAGCTCTGTATTTCCTCAAAATCTTCTGGAAAATAAGGTCAAAATGTGCTTTTGAGCAGTAACATTGAAAAGTTGTTTTTCAGAAAATATTAAGCTCAATACAAAATATATGTGAAACTACATCTCATTTAACTGCGTATGACTAGTGCAGCGCCTTCTTCAACATTTCTCTAAGTCCCCGCACATAGAGAAGTAGTTAATTCTACTACTTTTCTCATTAATCTGTGGGAAACACTTAATTTCAAAAGACATTACAATGTGAACTCTGTTCCATAATTAACTTCCATAAGGAAAGTCGTCTTTTTCTCACGAACCTTCAAAGTTCGGGTGAAATTAGTGATTACATTAGGAACTCTCCTGTAATTAACCTTTCCCCTCAAGCAAAAGTTTGCTTAAATGAAATTTAGCCAGTGAAGGTGAAGCCCGTGCTTTTTAAAAAGTACTTTATCATCACAGTAAAAAGACCATCCACAAACCTGTTTACAGATATGTGTTGATACTAAAAAACTACAAGTCTGGAAAAGCGGCAGAAAATCTAAGGGTCCATCTGAAATGGCAAGTTCCTTTGTGGCCCTTCCCCTGAGGTGTGAGTACTCGGCAACCGCCCGCCAGCGGAACCGAGATCCACAAGGCGCTCTGGAGACTTGGAGAGAGGGTACGAAAACATAAACATTTACCTCTTTTTCTGGTTTTAAAACGCTGGCCTGATAGCGTTGGCTTTTGCTGCTTTTGATTATTCATAAAAGACACCCTATGAAAATAAAAACAAGGTCTTAAAAATATCAGCGCCATAGCACTCCCTTCAAAACCAAACCATCGAGCCGGCCCGCCGCACAGAAGTCGGGGCGGGCGCGCAGAGCCACCACCTTCGCGCGAATCAAATGGAGCTTCAGACCCTGCATTTCTCCCTCACAAGACCCTCCAGAGACGTCCACAGTACACTTCTAAGTGGCTTTACAGCGCGACAGTGACCGGCGCAAGTCGCCCGGCACCAGCAGAGTTGTCTGGGCCGTTCCTCTTTAAATCCGCCCGCCTCCTCCACTATTTCTCCGCCCCAGCGGCGGCCGCGCAGACGACCAGCACCTCCGGGAGGGAGCCGGGCCGCGCGCGCCGCTAAGGCGCCGGCCAAAGGCGCCCCCCTCCTCCCCGCCCTCGGGTCGCGCCCCGAGGCGGCGGCCTCCTCCGCGGGCAAGTGCCTCCCGCCCTCGCCCAGGACCCCTCGGCCGCGGCGGGGCGCCGTCGGGGCCGCTCCGCTTCTCCACCGACCCGCTGGCCGGCGGCCGCCGCGACGAGCGGACCACAGGCGCCGAGGCGCTCCGCGCCGGGGGCCCCGCCGCCCCGTACATCCGCCCGCCCTCAGCGAAAGGAGCGGCGGAGGCGGCGGCGCGCGGTGGTGGCGACTGCCCGCCCCGCCCGCCGGAACCCCCCACGCGTACATCACCCAACAGAGGCGGCGGCCGCTTTGTTACCCAGGCCGGCAGCGCGGCCGGGCCGCCTCCGTCCCGCCCCCGGCGCCCACCGGCCACGGCCCGCCCGGCCCCTGCCCCGGCCTCCCCGCTCAGGCGGCCCGGCCCTCGAGTCCAGGCGCCGAGGCGGCCCGGCCTCATGCGGGCCTCCGCCCGGGCCCACCCGAGCCCGGCCGCCCGGGCCTGCCGCCGCCCTCGCCCTCTGCCCGGTGACGACGGGCCGCGCCCTCGGGCCGGGGCGAGCGGGCGTCGCGCCTCACCGAATTTAAGGCGAAGAGAAGAGAGCCAGAAAAGCCCGAGGTGGCGGCAACTGCGGCGGTGTCTCCTCTGCGACCGGAACTAACGCGAGGAGGAGGAGAAGGGGAGAGGTGTCACCCCGCCCCGCCGGCCTCCTCTCGCGAGATTTCTTCTCTGGGCCCTCCCCGCTCGCAGCCTGGAGCCTCGGCCCCTTCCACTCCTGGGGTTCGGGGTGGGGAAGGGGGAAAAGGGACGGAGGGGGATTTTCAAGGCTTCCCATTCCCTCTTTGGGCCCCAGTTTCTCGGCCACTCATCCTAGACTTGCCTGCCTTTCTCCCACTCCCCGCGCCATCCGGCCTCTCAGCTCACGGAGGGCTTGGAAGGACGAGTATCCCCCCCCGCCGGTGTCGAGGAAGGTGGACACGTCCGCCCAAGTCCCTTCCCCCGCGACCCCCGCCTCTGGCGCCGGAAGTCGAAGCCCGCTGCTGGGAGCTGGGCTCTGGGTGGCGGGGCCTGGGGCTGGAGAGCGGTCCACGCCCGGCGTTCTCGCTGGCCGGGCGAGTCCGCGCAGGCCAAGTCCGCGGCGCGGCGACGTTGCCCTGCGCTGCTGGCTGGCTGGCGCCGTGCGCTGCCCTCAGGGAGCAGGTCCAGGCAGAGGGTTCAGAAGGAAGTTCTGCCCTCCGACTGCGGCCGCCCCTCCTCGCGGTGGTCTCTCTTTTCCCTCCTGAGTGTGGTGGTTGTGGGGACTTGAAGAGCTTCGGAACCCCTTAGAGGACTTGTTAAAACACGGATTGCTGGGCCTCCCCCGCAGAGACGATGGAGGTCTGGTGGGCTCAAGAATGTGCGTTTCGGGGCTGGCCCCGTGGCCGAGTGGTTAAGTTCGCGCGCTCCGCTGCAGGCGGCCTGGTGTTTCGTTGGTTCGAGTCCTGGGCGCGGACATGGCGCTGCTCATTGGGCCACGCTGGGGCGGCGTCCCACGTGCCGCGGCTAGAAGGACCCACAATGAAGAATATACAACTATGTACGGGGGGCTTTGGGGAGAAAAAGGAAAAAATAAAATCTTAAAAAAAAAGAATGTGCGTTTCGAACAAGTCCAGGGGCCACACTTGGGGAACCACGGAGTTAGAGGGTGTATCATCGGAGAACTGGGGGAGGATAACGGAATGCATGCGGAAAACACTGTGGACATCGTAAAACTGTACGAATGGAGATGCACGGTGTCGCCAGGATCTACTTTCATGTTTTTATCCCCCGTTTGTACCTTAGTTGTTACCTCTCCATCTGCTTCCTTACTCTCCTATCAGAGAAACCCTAAAAACAGGGTTTGTCCCTAAAATCACTTTCCCTGGACCCTACTTCTGTTTCTTATCAAACACTGGCAAATTCGTCTATTCTAGTTGACTTGTTTTTGCTAACAATCTGACCTCTGCCCTGCCCTTCCCAACTTCATGGAAAATTATTTTCTCAGAATTCTTTCCCAAATTATTGCCAAATCCAGTGATTCTTTCAGCCTTCGTCCTTCTTGCCGCCTCTGAGCATTTCAGGCGTTCCCCGTCTCCTTAAGGCTTGCCCCGACCCGTCCTAGTTCCTTCTCCGATACTCCTGCCGATCCGCCGGTTCCTCTTTGCTGTACTCACACATTTTATCTTCTTTCCTCATACTTTCTTACATGGCAGTCCCATACATTGCCAGGGATTTAACTTTTATCTCCATTTAAAAGAGTTCCAGGTTCATCTGTTGAATCATTAAACAAGTATTTGTTGCGTCCGGGCTCCGTGCTCTTCCAGGCTGAGGGGGCAGCAGGGGGAAGGTCCTGGGAAA